TTTCTGACCTTCCTTTGAACTTTTAGGGATGAGATCTACTGTCAGATCTGCAAACAGCTGGTGAACAACAGGAACAGGAAGAGCTGCATGCAAGGCTGGGCTCTCCTCTCCCTCTGTCTGGGGATCTTCCCTCCAACGAGCCTCTTCATGGAGGTCAGCAGTCACTGCTCAGACATTCAGATGTGGTACTATGTTCACTGGGTTTAAAAAAGTAGCTACTTTAAAATGTAATTTAGCTCCAGTTGATGTTGTGACGGTGTCCTGGAAGAAACTGTTCACCTTCCAGCAGGACAAGGACCCAAAACATGTAGCTTGAGCAACTATATGATGACTGAGAAAAAAATCACATGTGTGTGGCATGATCTAGTCAAGACCTGAGTCCTTCTGTTTAAGGATGTCTAAATTGAGTAAATCAGAGCTATTCTGGAAAGAAAACAACGCTCAGGATCGGTTCTCTTAGTCTCCGGAGCTTTTAGATCCATCCTTCCTCACACATTACTCAGTCAGATTCAGTCTAAGTGACCAGTTCTACGTCAAATTCTGCTCTAGATGCGCAATGCTTGTAGAGTTCACAACCCAAAGGATATGCAGCTGCCCCTGCAGCAGAAGTTGAAAAAAACGTGTCCTTTTCTTAATTATTCACAGTTTCCCATTTCTTTTTTTTTTTTTTTTTGTAAATTCCTTTAGGTTTGTTGTTTTAATAGTACCAAAGCTATGAATGGCAAGATGTGACTTTATTTTCCCCCTTTTTTTTAGCCTGTTGAAAGAAAGAAAAATGGGAGTTAATTTTCAAAGTCATAGTTTCACGATGTCATTCATTCATTCATTCATTCATTCATTCATTCATTCATTCATAAATATCACAGTTTCACACTAAATTGACTAGAAAGCTAAATATTTAGTTGACAAATTAACTATTTAGCTCCATACTGAATATCTAGTTAGCAATCTAAGTAACCTAAATATTTAGTTAATCTGCAAACTAAATATTTTTTTATTTAGCATTAGAAAGCTAAATATTAAGCTTCAAACTAAATAATTAGTTTTACTACATACTTAGTTTGAAGTAATTATTTAGTTTTCAGATAGCATATTTAGCTTGCCATCAAAATATTTAGTTTGGAGCTAAACAGCTAGTTAAGCTCGGTTAAATATTTAGCATAGCTAAATATTTAGTCGCAAAGTAACTGTTTGGTTTGCAAGCTAAATATTTAGCTTTAAGCTAAATATGCAGCTTGCTTACTAAATATTTAGCTTGAATCTGTGACATTTATGAATGAATGAATAACTTTGAGGTGAAATGAACCAAATTATTGCTGTTGCTTTTTTTTACCGTGTAACTTTACAAACGCCACCACCACCACAGGTTTTCCATTGTAGAGCCATTGTTTCTCATCGTTTTCCACGTTTTCTGCTCTCGTCTGTCCCGCAGTGTTTGGAGAGCTTCCTCCAAAGAGGTCCATACGGTTACAGAGAGTACTGCATTGAGAGGCTGCATCGCATAGTAGCCAACGGAGAGAGAAAAGAGCTGCCCTGTTGGTTAGAGCTGAAGGTAAAGTCCTGCATCCTGATGAATTTGGTTGTAGAGTGACTCTTTCGGTCATTTTCACACATCATCATCTATGACCTCAGGCCGCCACCAACAAAGAGCCCATTGATTCGTCGGTGACACTAATGAATGGTGAAACGATCAAAGTGCAGCTGGATTCAGCCTCCACCTCCTCAGAAGTTTGCCAGGCTGTGGCTAACAAGCTCGGACTCAAGGACACCTTTGGGTTCTCCGTCTACATCAGCTTCTACGAAAAGGTTCCTGGGAGCTTCTTAGGTCATGCGGCTTCAGTGTTCCTACCTGCCCTATCACGCTGTTATATCGATGCTGATGTTTTGTCTCCAGATGTGGTCTCTGGGATCCTGCGGGAAGAACCACGTGTTGGATGCCGTGTCTCAGTGCGAGCAGGAAATGAGGAGGCAGGGCAGAGAGGAGAAGGACACGCCCTGGAGCCTCTCCATCCGCAAGGAGCTGTTCTCTCCGTGGCACGACTGCGACCAGGACGCAGTCAGCACGGATCTGATCTACAAGCAGGTCATCAAGGGCATCAAGTCTGGAGAATACGTCAGTGAGAAGGTGAGAGGCTGAAGACAAGCTTCTGTTTTCACTGTTCCTGAAGGGGAAACGTATTCCTGCAGCTTCAGACTGGTTGTAGAGATTTGGTTAAGTTGACAAATTGAATTAATGAAACATTGTAGAGCAGCAGATAATTGAATATTTCAGCAATATCTGTCAGATGCAGATACGAGAACCTAACTTAGAGCAGAGGTTCCCAAGGGATTGACGTTAGCCACTGGAAAATTCAAGATTTTTTAGATTAGCGTGTTTGGTGTCAAATCATAACCTATATATTTTGAACTATAGAAATCATACATGTTTTCCTGATCTTCTGTTTCCTTTTTCCTTTTTTTTTTTTTTCCAAAATGGTTTTAATGGTCAGTAGATGTTTGCACTAAAATTGTGAGAAGTAGTAGAAACAGAAAGTTCACCAACCACTAATTCACGTTACAAGAATCTTAGCTCTGCTCATCTTAAACACATGAAACAGCACAAGCTAATGCTTAGCACATAAAAAAAATTGCCGAAGCTAAAGCTAATCAGTAAAACGACCGTTGAGACTCAGAAACAGCAAAAATAAATTCCTCAATTTCTGATTTGAAGTTGTGTGGACAGGATGACCAAAGTCAAAAAACAGATGATGTGACGTTAATTTCATCCAAGTCATGAAAATGGGTGACTTGGTACGGCAATATTTGGTTATGATGGGCTTCTAGGTTTACAGTTTTGCCATAATCCATTTTCTGATGAACTGTATCGATAAATATTCACAGCCTGGGTTTTTGTTTCATGACCTAACTTTGCTTTAAACTACTGCTATTATCCCTGACCTGTCTCCTGTGTTCCTTGGCAGACACGACTGCTGCTGGTTCACTAATGTTCTGAGGCCTTAATGGTTTTAAACTGAGGTTGAATTTCATACAGTTGAACTCTATTAATGAATGAAGTGACTTGTAAAAGCAAACAGTGGCTCTGGATTTTACTTAGGGGGGTAAATCAGGCTGAAAGCTTTGCAAACACTTTGACAACTATGTATCCTTCCTCTTTCTACAGAACACATTGACATTTGTGGTTGATAAAATGAGAAAAGTTAGAAAAGGAAATACTCATTTTGTTTTTGCCGCTTTAAAGAAACAAATGTCACATTTATTGATATCTTTCTCAGTCTAACACAGACTTAAAAAAAAGTAAATGAATAGATTATGTGATGCAATAAAAAACATTCTGCATTCCTCAGGAGGATGAATACGTCCAGCTGGCTGCGATGCACTACTTTGTCCAGTTCGGCTCCCAGGAGCCCACCAGAGAGAGGGTGCAGAGTGTGGTCCAGGAGTGCATCACAACCACGCGGATCGAGAGCAGGTCCATGACGATGTGGATCGATCTCATCACGGAGGAACTCTCAAAGGTGAAGGCACAGAGCAGCTGTCTGAATGTTGCAGTGAAATCCACGTAATCATGAGCTGAGCTCAGACTTCGGTTCTTGTAGGAGAGCTACAGCAACGGGAGACTGCGGGCGGAAAAGGTGAAAGGAGACGTGGTGGACATCGCCCGGCAGAACTGGCCGCTCGACTTTTCCAAGCTTTACGAAGTCACAATGACGTCAGGTCGGTGGACGGAACTCGCCCTGTTAAAGACGCAGCTCAAAGCATCGTAGGAGCAAAATTACAAAACCGTGCAGAACATATTTCCTGTCATGTAGCGCCTTCCAGAGGTATTTATAACCCTCCTCATTTTGCCATGTTCCAACTATTATGTAATGGGAAAGTTGGAGGATTGTCATTTCCACAAAAATTAGATCATCTTATGCTGTGTAAAAAAATCATAAAAGCAGTTTATGCAAAATGAAAAATTCGAATAAATTGAAAGGAGCAATCAGTAATTAACTGTGCATCTCCTGCCTATAAGACTCATTATAAACTTTCAAATATATGTGAATAAAAACAGGAGCAAGTTTCTTTAGATTCTCTCTTTGCAAATCCAGACATTTTTATTATTACAAAATTAGCTTGCACTTTAACTGGGCCATTATAAACACATGAAAATGCTTCGATATGCAAACACTAAATCTCATCAAGTACTTTTGGTCTAGCTCCTACTACTACTTGAACCACTTGACAAAATTAACTTACAAGTAGCTTTCCAGCAGGAAATATGGGCTTGTTTTAAGTCAGTCATTTCTTAATATTGATTAAAAGGTTCTAGTTGTTGGTGAAATAATCTGCCAGTGGAACAAAACATTTTTCCTCATACTATAAGTTAAAATGTCTTGTTTCACTGGCTGGTTATTTCATTTACAGCTAGTACTTTTTCATCAATATTCAGGAATTATTTACTTTAAATAAATTCCTGTATTTTTGATGAAGTAACTTGTAAGTTATTTTTGTCCTATTTCTAAGTGCACTAGAAAACAGACAAAATAAATTTGGTAAGATTCTGTTTTTGCAGAGTGGATCTCTGCAGCTCCTGCAAAACAACCTCTGGCCTCTTCACTACACCTCCACAGCCATTTAGAATTGCCGACAGTAACAGTTTGCATCCTGCCGTTCATCCGCAGGACCCCCGTTGCCCAAAAGCAGATTTTTTGTGGCCGTAAACTGGAAAAGCATCGTCTTCATGGAGAGAAGGGAGAAGCTCCTGCTGGAGATTCCCTACGTAGAAGTGAAGAAAGTCCAGATGGCGAGGTAAAGCTCTGTCTCTGTGGAGCGTTTTTCTTTGTGTGCTTTTTAAAAACCATCGCAGATTTAAAACCTTTGCCGTTTCTGACGCGTGTAGCGACAGCGACCAGTCGGTGAGCGTGGACACGCTCAGAGGACAGTACACCCTGAGGTGCCAGGACGTGGCGGACATGACCAAGATGATGCAGTACAACGTGAACGGGCTGAAGCAGCGCTCCGTGTACGCTGTGGTCCAGCAGGACGTCCCCAAACAAGGTGAGGCGTCTTTAATTCCCCCAGGTCGTTTCCAGGCCGACCGATTCGATCTCCGAACTCTAACGTTCTCGCATCCACCTGCAGATGATCCCGTCTACCTGGTCTGTAAGCGGGGCGACCTGCTGCTGGTGGAAAAAGACGGCTATCCGCCGGACAGCAACTTGCTCCGAGCCGTCAACCAGAGGACCAAAAGTAGCGGGGTGGTTTACAAGGACAAGATGGAGTTTCTGCCGACTTTGACCGAACCCCCTGAGGACATGCTGGTAAAGTGACCTTCACCAATTTGGTTATTTCTTTACAAGATTGTCTTTCTGACAATATATTGACAACAAGATCCCACACGGCAAACTAAGCCTCCATGGATGGAAAACAGAACTTCATCCAACTCTTTAGATCGGATGCCGACTAGAAAACCCGTGATGAAATTCTAACTATTATCATAACCTCACTGGGAGTGTTCGGCACTCTGCTTCACATGACTCTGCCTGTGTGGTGAACCCGATCCGCTTCCTCTCCCCCTCCACAGACCATGCTCAGCCCGAAGCAGCGGAAAGCCTCCGTCCCGACCATTGTCCCTCTGGTCGAAGAGACGGTGGCTCCCGTCTCTTTGAAGGAGTTTGCTCTTGAGAATTTCAGGTAACAAGGCAGATTTTTTTGTGGTTTTTGTCTGTGTGTGTGTGTGTGTATGTGTGTGTGTGTGTGTGTGTGTGTGTGTGTGTGTGTGTGTGTGTGTGAGAGAGATTTCCCCCCGTGGTAAATTTAATGTAAACTCTTCGGATTTAAATTTAAAATATCCATAAACTGATAAAAAAGGCTGGAAAATTGGCTGGATCTGTTCATGTTGATGCATACTTTTTTAATCTGAACATTTTAATGCGTTAATGTAACATATTGTAGATTAACCAAACTGCCTGTCTTGACCTAAAGAGGAACATTTCTAAGTTAACGTTTAGAACTTCTATTAAACCTTCCTGAATATAAAAACCTGGAAAGCTGAGAGTTTTCAAGGTTTGGTTTGAGACAATAAAACATTTTTTTTGAAAACATACATAGAGTGGCGGTTTTTGATAAAGGCTATTTGGGCGGTCGCCCAGGGCGCATCAGAAAGGGGCGGAACACCCGAGAACTAGAAAATAAAATCCATCTTGTCAGTCAGTTGTTCCCTGAGCAAGTTTGCTACTTGCTCAGGGAAGCATGTATACATGCGAAGTGGAGTAAGTTTCCCTTGGTTGCTGCTGAGTACTAAGGGACTACATTAAAAATCAGATAATTTCTTGCATTTTAATTGGTTGGAGTGTTGCAGAAGGAGGGGCTTACCCTGGGCACCGTTCCTGCAAGAATCACAGTTGCATGCATATATATATTTCACGCTTACAAAGTGAGGCATAGTGATTCATTTTAGTGTCAGAGTGAGATTGTTCTGATTAAAAAAAAACATCAATTGACGGCACTCATTTTGACACAAAAATAAGTAGCATCCACGTGTTTCAGAGAAACTCTGCATGACTCTGCTGACCTGCTGACACCGTTTCGCCTTCCTCTCTCAGATCAGTCGGTAAGGGCGGCGGCCGTGGTTCCAAGGGCGCCAACAAGGAGAGGCTGTGGATTTTCTCCAAGGAGCCCATCAAACAGCCACTCTTGAAGACTTTGCTTAACAATCCAGAACTCAGCAACATGGCCTGCAACGCCTTCATTGATATCCTCTGAAAAATAATATGCTTATTTATTATTATTAGTGCTTAAATAAAAGAAACTGCCGGTCAGTTTTTGCAGGAAAAAAAAAAAAAAGACGGATTAGATGATGTCGGCATTATATGAGCAAAAACTGAAAAGTTTCCAGGTGTTAAGGGTCAGCGCTTCATGAGCGTATTTTGTTTTTATGAATAGTTTTCCACAGAACAACACCTTAGACTTATTTTAAACACGGACAGTGTGAGTCCTTGACCCGCTCTCTCACCCATCTTGAAGTACATGGGCGACTACCCCATCAAACATTCTCGAAGTCCCACAGAGCTGACTGACCAGATCTTCGGTTCAGCCACTAAGCATGAGGAGCTGCAAGATGAAATCTACTGCCAGATAATGAGACAGATGACCACCAATAACAGCAGGTGTTCCTCAGTTGATACAAATCTGATAAAAAAAAAATAAAAACATAAAAAAAAAGCTTCATAAACTAAAAAGTTAACACATTTAATCTTTTGTATTTGTGGGTTGCTTTCTCCGTGTGACCCGTAAGGATGAGTGTGGATCGTGGGTGGCAGCTGATGTGGATGTGTACAGGCTTGTTCCCGCCCGGTCCCAGATTAAGGAAACACGCGCAGCGCTTCCTGGAGTCACGGCCCAGGGACCCTCTGGCTGCTGGCTGCTTACAGAGGTTTCAGGATTTTTCCAGGTCAGCCTCAGGATAATGTGTGATGAAGGATAAATAGGCATTTATATCCTCCCACTTTACTTTTTTTTTTAAAAAAAGAAAAAAAAAACCCTTTACAATTTAAATGCATCAAAAACCACCAGAGATCAAATCTGTTAAAAAAATAAGTAAAAAGTACCAGTTTTTTTTGTGTGACAAATTAATTCCCATTGGGAAAATCAGCATTTTGACAACTTAGTGTCTCCCAACAGAGAAAACAATGGGGTCTACCAAACATGGCCCTCTTAAACAAAAAAGAGAGAAAAAAAACAGTTTGGGATGTTCATCTGGTCTGCAGACTGTCCAGACACAGACTGACTCTAATATGGTTGGACTTTGGAACACGCTAACATGCTATTATCTAAATAATTTTCTCTGAAGTTGGTGGACTTCGTCTTACAAAACTGCACAAATCATTTTCAAATCTAGACACAACCTGCCAGCTAATACAAAATATTTTCATGACAGAAAGGTTTAAGATGACTAAGGACTAGATTATTGAGCTATCTGTCTTGCTAGCTATATAGCTACATAGCTAGCTAAGTAGCTATAGGTAGGTAGCTATGTTTTTGCATAGCTAGGTAGGTGCACAGCTATGCAGCTACTTAGCTATTTAGCTAGCTAGATAATATGTGGGTCTGGGGAGTATGTTTTTTGTAAATGTTTTCCTCTGCTTTTTTCCTAAACTTAAAAGTAGTCAAATGCCTGTCAGTTTTTTGTTTTGTTTTTTCAAATTATTTTCTTTCAAACAAGAAATGTTGTTTCTGATAGACAGTATTTCTAAAGGATAATAAAACAATGTAAAGGAAGTATAAATAAAAATATTTAAATGTTCCTTCAGACTAGCCAGCAGAAGAGTCAAATCCTTCCTCTTACTGCTGATTATTTTACTTGTTTCCATTGGTGTTTTGACAATATTTTTTAGGACGATTTAGCCAAAAACTGATTTATATTTTTCCTACTTTGCTTCCATTCATCTGCTAAGACATTCTGTTTCATCAGATTAATTAATCTAAGTGTTTTTGCCCCTTCAGTAAAGCGCCCAGGACACTTCCTCCCCATCAAGCAGAGGTGGAGGCCATCCAGCAGAACAGCACTCAGATCTTCTATAAAGTCCACTTTCCAAATGACACAGATGCTGTAAGAACCAACATTAATTACTTCTCAGAAATGTGGCTCAGTGTCAACAGATTATATCATCAATTATAATGATGGTATACTGAGTTTTCGTTCATTTTTTGGATGCATTTTAAACACTAAAAGTATGTATTTATGCATTATTCTTTATAATTTGAACTCAGTTGTTTTAGTAACCATGTTGTTGCTGATGTAATTTTTATAGAATCAAGTTGATGCACAGTTTCAAGATCAGTTTAATGGAAACCTTGACAGTATATATGAAAAGAAAGTATACCTTAATTGAATTATTTTTATACATGAGGACATCATAAGGAGGATCTGGTCATTACCATCTGACCAGCAGTCCTTACAAACATAGCTTTTTCATTTCGACATATTCTTAAGTAATCAATTACTTGGTGGGATCTTTAGTGATTTTTACGCTTCGTGTTTTAAAGGGGCAGTATTATGTAAAATCTTATTCCCTCATCAAAAACATACCTGGAGTGTTGACTTGATTCTTTCATGCATGTTTGAGAAATCCTTTAATCTCCCGGGGCAACCGTTCAGCTGTTCAAAACACCTGGGTGGACTTAGCCCCGCCTTGCAGACGAAGCCCCTCCTGCAGGTTCCCAGCTTCTGCCTCACAGAGCAGCTCTCCCCTGTGACTCCCTTACTCAGCTCCTTCAGACTAGCCAGCAGAAATTAACAAACACCTACTGAGCTCATTATAGAGGCTACTTCTCCGCTCAACACTTGTAAAAACATTATAAAGGGTTAATAGAGGAGCAATGTTGTGATTACTTCCTGAAGGCAGATTTTCAGAAAGAGCAGGAGCTTCTTAAAGAGACAGAGGCCCAATTTCAAGGCGTTAAATTGTAAAGTAAATGTTCTTTTAAATCATATTTGATATGTGCAGCATTTTATAACAACTTAAGGTAATATAGTTACTTGACTGTGCTATAAAATAATAACTCATAATACTGCCCCTTTAAAAAAAAAGGGGGCAGTATTATGAGTTATTATATATATATATATATATATATTCACCTTTTTTTTAAACACCTGTATAAACAAATGTTTGTGCTGCAAATGAAAAGATGTCCCTCGGCGCATCGGCTTCACTCACCCTGAAAACAGGAAGCGTGTGGTTTTCGTAAGCCTTCACGGTGTTGTTCACCTACATACAGTACTTACCACAAACACAGGGGAGAGTCTCCTCCGAACGAGGGAACTTGACAAAAACCGTGTCTCTCGTTAGAGTCTGAGCCGTGACATTGTTCTGTGATTCCTCGCAGCTGGTCGAGGTTTCCTCCACGATCACGAACAGGGAGCTGCGCCACAGCATCGCCGCCCAGCTCTCGCTCAGCTCAGCAGAGGGATACGGCCTGTACATGAAAGTGACGCAGAAGGTGCGGCTGGCCGACGACTGTGATCAACATTTTTTTTTTCCCCATATATAATTTTTGTTGTTTTAAAGCTATAAAGTTGAATGTATTTTATTGAGATTAAATTTGATGGAGTAAGTAGCGCGACTTTCAACTTTTATATTCAGACTTCATCCTTTTATTCACCCTGAATTAAATGCAGTTCAGGGAGGTTTCTCAACCGGGCGGCTGAAATATTTTGCAAGAAATATGAGCCTTATAAGAAGTTTTAAAAACATATACAAACACCCCTTTACTTGCACTTCTGATAAATAAACTTGCAGTAATAAAACACGTTGCGGTTTGTGGTTGAAGTGTGAAACGCTCAGGTTTTAAGCTCTGCAGATATTGTCTCACTTTTAGTATTCACAGCGCTTCAACTTTTTCCACGTTTTGTTACGTTACAGACTTATTTCAGATCGTTTTAAATGAATCTCAAAAAATCAGCCAATACAAGAAACAATTACATTTTTATTTTACATCTTGTCTAAATCATCGAAATTATTAAGCAAATACACATCAGATGTGTTAACCAATGTTTCATTTATTACTAATCAATCCATAGAAGCTGAAAAGCTGCTTCTCCGTGTTTGTGTTTTTAGTGAGGCATTAGTGTGAAGAATTTTGACGAAGACGATCACAATACAATTTAGAATAATGCTATAAAAACTTTCCGGTTGCACCAAGTAATGTAAAGGGAAGTTTTGGCTTTGTGTTGCATGCTGCGCAAGATCTGTGTAACACTGCGTCATCAATAGTCTTGTAAAAGATAAAAATTGTCCTTTCCTGTTCGCCGTGTTGCAGATGATGAGTCTGGATGAGGACAAGTATTTCTTTGACAGTTTAAGGCAACCTCCAGATGTGAATAAGAAAGGAAAGAAAGTGAAAGAAGGTAAATGTCTTCCTGCATTTAAAAGAAATTTGAAAACCATTATCATGAAGCGATATGGCATCGAATGAGTTGTGGATTGTTTACATATTTGAAATATGGCTGTCACAGTTTTCGGAGTTGTGTAGTTATAATTATGGCAGATATTACAATCTTTCATGATTTCTTTTAGTTGTTAGTGAAACAATTCATATTCATTGAGTGAATGAAATGGACAAATAAAATGGAAATTGTTCAGACAGAACTTGTTGACCCGTGTTGAGGTTTTTTTCATGTTCATAATTCAAATCTCACTTCACAGTCACTCAGTCCAATGCGCCGCTCCTGGTGGTCTACAGAAGGAAGCTCTGGTTCAACGTGATCCCAGGAAAAGATCTCATCGCAGATCTCACTTTCCATTACCCGCAGGTATTTATTGCAGCTTAGAAACAAAGCCTTATCGCCTGGGTTTTTACTCGTGTTTGTACGACGGCGTATTAGGGCCGTTGCAGAAAAAGAAAACAATAAAAGGAAGAGTAAGTTTCTGCCAAAAACAATCAGAAATTTTGATATTAATCTCAACATTAGTGCAGTGGAAAAGGTCAAAATTTTCTTGGAAAGTTTCAGAAATTTTGAGATCACTCAGAAATTTTAAAGAAAACAACATTGAAAGCTTGAAAAATTATAAATTTGAGAATTTTTTTTTTTTAGATTAATTTAAAAGTTTCAAATTTCCTAGAAAAAGGAAATTTTGAGATTCATCTCTAGAATTGTCTAGAAAGCATTTTCTGACTTTTGAAACTTGGAAATATCAACGTTTTTCTAGAAGATTTCTGAGAATAAACTTAAAATTTCAGGGTTCTTTCTAGTATTTTTTGACTTTTCAGACTTGGAATTTTTTTGTAAAATGTCTGAGATTAATCTCAATTTTTTTTGTGTGTGTGTGGAAATTTTCAACTTTCCAAACTCAGAAATGTTCTCATTTTTTCCTTGCAAATTTCTGATTTTTTTGGCAGAAACGTACTCCTCCCTTTCTTTCTTTTTATCTACCACAGCCCTGATAAGCCGTCGTATGTTTGGGATGCAGCGTGATTGTAAAACGTTTCCTGTTTTTGCCTCTCAGGAAGTGCCCAAGTACCTGCGGGGATACCACACCTGCACCAAAGAGGACATGTTTAATCTGGGTGGGCTCCTGTTCAGAGTGGCCGTGGACTCGGACAGATCCCAGTTTGTCATGATCCCCAGGATGCTGAACGAGCTGGTTCCTTTCGACAAAGTGCAAATGATGCAGCCTGACGAGTGGAAGAAGGTAAAAAAACAGGGACTTTATAGATAATGTTGTTTTTCTTTAAAATCGAGAACAAAGAACAATGGGGTAAAAAACAGCCTCACTTTTAAGAGTTAATGATTCCAAATGTATTGTTCTCATGTCTGCCTTCAGAACATCATCTCGTCGTATAACAAGCAGAGCGGCATGACGGTGCAAGAGGCCAAAATTGCCTTCCTGAGAGCCATTTCGAACTGGCCAAACTTTGGCTGCTCCTTCTTTGACGTTAAAGTGAGTTACAGGGGATGGAGTGGCAACGACATTCTGAAGCCAATGTTACTCTGCAACCTAGGATGGCTGAGGGTAATGTGTTAGATGATCTTCCCTCAACGTGTGATGCTGTGGAACAGGAAAGACGAGACACACACGTTGAGCTTCCTTCTCATTCAACTGGAAGATTTATTCTTCTTGTGTTATAAACACACTTCATATGCAACATGCTTCAGGTATCACATACTTCAGTAGAGAACTATTAACTTC